GTATTTATTATTAAGTTAGAACTATTATATACAAAAGGTTATTTAGAATCATACTTTTCCTGTAATCTTGATTATATAGAATTGGTCCTATTCTTGTTGCTATTTTCACAAGCACACATTGCTCCTGTTTAGTATCTTTTTGATCTATTGATTCTTGTCAACTCGAATGAAATTACAGCAGATTGATATGGTATAGATAAGCAGATCTGTATAGTACAGATTCAATTTTTTAAAAACTACACCATACCAATATTAATTAGCTATAATTTCTAAGTCTAATAAGTATACAGTCATTCTTCTCTATCATCATGTAGTTTGTTTTATATAAAAAAGATGTGATTATAAAATTTTAATAGTATTGTGATTATATAAAAGTTTTTTTAATAAATAAATTACCAATAATTTTTTAAAAATCTTGTTTATAAAAAGGGTATGATTATATAAAAGGTGATGTAGAAGAGGACTGTTGTTTATAAATTAGCCTGTACTATACAGATCTGTTTACTTATACCACATCAGTATATGATTTATTAATTGAGTATTGATATACATAATAATTGTGGGGGCTGATGCTAAAATCAAATGATACTGAAAATTGGAGTCTTTTTTTAAATCTATACTAAAATTTATATATACTTTTTTATTAATAAAATACTACTCTCTAGGGATGGGTAATTTACGTAAGTTATTTTAACTAACATAAGTTTAAATTTAAGTAATGTAAGTTATATGTAACTTATATAAGTTAAAAATTTTTGATTAATTATTTTACCCTAAAATAATTTGGATATTTTTGGACATTATTTGAAAAAAAAATAGCTCGATATTGCTCATAATTTGTGTTTATTGATTGTCCATCTCAGAAAAAACAATTGTGATAAAATCACTATCCAAAAAAGTTTCAAAAATCATGTGATATTGTCAATTTATCATGATTAGGATCATGATATAAAATATTAATTTATTTAGTAAGTGATTTATTGAGACACTTGAAGAATAGGTACCCAGTGATCATCATATTACATGAATCATGTAATAACATCATTTGTTTACTCGCACTAACAAATCGGCCTAAATTATACTATCACCTAACCCTAACTCTAACTTTCACAGGTAAAAAACTATTTAACCAGTATAATTACTAATTATAAAAAGATTTATAAATAAATACAAATAGGCATCCTATTGTAAACTAGTAAAATACCGATTTGAGAATATTTAATGATATTATTTATTACTTATTGCAGTTAGATTATGGCAAAAATAAGGATAAAATAGGCTTTTAATAGAATGGCCTATTTGAATTAGTTTATTAATTCAAATTCTGATTGTTATTTATTTTTTATTTTAACTTAAATTAATAAATAGATTACAATCAGTAAAATCCAGATTAAACAGTTTTTATTATTTGGTTATTTTATTGATTATTACTGATAGTATACTGATTAAAAATCATAAATTAATAATTAATTGCCGATTGTATTAAATTATACAAACAAGATAAATACAATTAAAAAATAAACTACAACCGGATTAATATAAAATTAGAGTAGCTGCAAGCAACGTAATATAAGTAGTAGATATATACCAGCAATTCAAGTTTAGTAAAGAACTTTTTCAATAATTATAAGAACATGAATAATTGCCTTATACATTTTATTTCAAGTACTGTTTATTTTTTAATTAACTTAAATTTGCAATATACCTATGAGCTAAAACATGATTTTAGAGTTTATCTAAACTACAAATCGAAATTTTAGTTATTAATATACAATATTTTAATATTACTATATATATATATAAGTTATGCATTACTTATAAAATTTTTTCTGATAGTTACAGCATTTTGAGTAGTGGTAAATGATTCGGGAATCTCATATATAAATTATTAGTTGTGTAATAGTAGAAACTTATGCAATTCGAGCAACTATTTTATTAAGATTTCTGTAAAACATAAAGTTGGGCTACTTATTAGATCATATGTAGAATATAGAGCAAATTATAGTGCAAGCTATCAGGCTATTTATCAAATTTGTCTGGCATTAGAAATAATGTAAATATTCTGAAGTAATATAAGTAGAAAATGAATGAACTTAGATCTTGAGCAAGAATAAGTCTTGAATTTCAAAGCATTATATTAGTTGTGTCAGTATCAAAACAAAGCAACATGTATTATTTCTGTTAATTCGTATTAATATATGCTCAATAAAGATTTAATGAAGAATATTCAGTAAATGAAGTATTAAGCAGAAGTTACTATAGTATTGGAAAATTTTAAAATAGAGATATTATCAAACAATTGCCCACTACCCATAATTGAATACATTAACACATAGTTCTACAGGCTCACAACTATCATGAAAATTCCTTCTGATTGAACAATTTTATAATTCTACCTATAAAAAACTGACTACTTATTGATTTTTTGTTTACATGATCATATCAATCCATGGAGTTAATGCTTTGTCCCGCCTCTCAGAAATAAACAATAGTAAGAACAGAAAAGTAGACAAAGGCTCAATTTATTCTTGCAAGTTGTTATCGTTATGATAAATGATTGAAAAAGATGAATATAAGGCATTCATTTATTAGCAGTGATTAAGAATGCTAGTAGAGTAAATAGTATTAGACATTGTTACCAACATGAAATTTGAATTAAAAAAAATATGAACATAAGGTGTCTATATATCATCAAAAATCAATGGAAATTAAAAGTGTTTATGAATCATGTGAATTAGTAAAGAAATAGCAATCTGTATAATGAAGAAAGATTAAAAGATAAAAATCTCATTCAATTTTAGACATATTAGAGCACAAAAAAAATGAAATCTTAAAAAACAATAATAATCCTGCTAATACTTACCTTTACCCTATTTAATACATGATATTTTTAAAATTTTTTAGGATACAATTTTTTAGGTTTTTTTTTAGATTTGGACTAGGATTTAGGGTTAAGGTTTATAATAAAAGAGTATAGGTAGGTTTATATTTTTAAAATAAGACCCCCAGATTTTATGATTATCTGCGACATCCTTTTCAACTCACAATAATAATAACAGCCTGTAAGAACGATTTGAACTATAGGATCTATATGAGCAAAAATTGATAATGTTGTACATCAGATTAAAATTTGCATCAGATCAAATTTTAATTTGAAGGGGTTTAATTTCGTGGTATTTATTATCAAAAATTGCAGTGATCAACTAGTAGAGTAAATATTATTGACCATTATTATTAATATAGATTGAATTAGGGTTGAAAAAGGTGAGCATAAATTTACATAGATGGAATGCTGGTAGAAAAATGATGTTATGAAAATGAAATTAGAGTGAAATGCCACTTTTGTTATCTAAAAAATAAAATGAGTTAGTGATACTACATGTTACACTGTAATTTGTTTAGCCATTATCCAGCTAGAGGTTCTCAATAAAATAAAGGAAAAAGGAAAAAGAAAGCCATCCAACAAGAAACGAATACTGGGTTGTGCTAAATGAAAAAATAGGTGAATTTGCAGTTATATAAATAAAGGCTAAGAGATGGTGAACATTCACAATATTTTCTGTGTCTCACCATATTTTTATATAAGGAGTAGAGTAATAATTTTTGAAGCCGAAAATGAGAATCCATGACAAAGTTACTTGAACAATCTCTTTTAATACTCGATTAATTGCAAATTTTGTCAAGCTAGAGATAAAACAAAAAAGATAGTTTGTTGTAAAATAGTTGCAAATTGAAATGACAAACTCTCTTAAAATTTTTTTATTATAAAATTGCGATATTATTTAAATACCAAACATAAACATAATTGACCTATTTAGAATATTTTCATTAAGTAAAATTTATTCTCAATCAATTAAGGTACTTGGGAATGTCTTAATTCTTTTTATTTTATTAGCTGCTTACTTCATATCTTCCCCTTTACTTTTTTTATCACTCATTGTTCTAATTTAATTTAACATCTTTATTAAGTTAAATCACTTACTATCACTATTTATTTTATATTTATTCTTTTATATATTATGTTTTTTTTTGCGTACTTATCTACAAAACTTACGCTGACTTTAACTACTAATTATTAAAATTTACCCTTGAATCTGAGTCAGCACACTCATAAAACATATAAAATAATTCATTATTTATATTTAATTGTTTGCGCAATTGTGTATACTGTACAATCAATATGTATATGCATATATATTTATTTACAATACATAACAGTATGTATAATGTAACTGGTAATTGTTTGTTATCATTCTTCTGCATATAATCTAGTTACACAAAATGGAGTACATTGTATTTCTGGCTAAATAGGCTGCAATTTAATATTTGTGAAGGCCTTTGTGTATTTCTTGAAGATTTATTATCAGTTATTGAGAAAGCACAATTGATGATCGTTTAGTACAGGCATTTTGTACGGCTGTTCTCAATGATCCTTTATATCCACTGATCGTCCAATCTGGTGCCTGAAATAGTTTTGATCATTCTTCTTCATAATCATTATTATGAACTCAGACTCGTTTCTTTGAAAGCTTAGATGATTCAGTAAATATTTTATCAATATAATCATGTAAAAATAATTGTAACTACAAAACAAAATTAAAAATTAGGATGCATAATATAATAAAATCTGTAATTCTAGAATATGAATTACAATTTTCTTATGTATGTTTATATAATTTATGATATTTGTTATAAATCTTACAGTATCAGAGTGCCATGTCAAATCCTTCACAATAACTTTCTATTCTCCAGTAAGATTTTCCTCATCAGTTTCTGAAGCTTCAGGTGAGTGGTATAAAGTTTTATTTTCAATTGGCTTAAGTTCTCGATTTGTAAATAATTTAATTAATGAATCATTGATTGCAACTAAATGCTCGATTGTATTAGCTCTATTTCTTCGTTTCTACATATAACCAAAATGTAATAAATTTAGTAACAGTTTTTTTTTAAAAAAAAAAACTAAATAAACCTACACTATTCGTTCAGCTATTCAAATGCTTTCATCTGGCACGTTTATCTTGGTATTCTTTTGATTGCTGTTTAATCAAATATTCCTCACGTTGGTGTTTGTGCCGAATATAGACTCTATCATATATAATATTTTCAGATACTGGAAATGTATGTAGATCTAATGCTTTTATTATAATTGGAATTATTGTATTTGTTGTGAGATTTTTTTGTAAATAAAAAGTTTGATCCAATCTTAGTTGATCTTGAGATGGTATTCTTTCAATAATCCAAGAAACTTGATGCTAAATATAAAAAATATTATTTAATATATATATTAAGATATTAATAAGCAAAAAAAAGATATAAAATAATCTACTCTTAAAGCAGCTAGAAGGTCATTTGGAAGATCATCAAGATCTAAATATTTAGGTCTAATATTCAAAGAACTTGAAACTTCTTGCAGACTAGTTCGAACTAATTGATCTTGAGCTTGTGAACTACTAATATTAGATTGATCTTGAATTTGTGAATAACTTTGGTTTGATCGTCTTAGTGGTCTTTAACTTGATCGATTTTGAGGTCTCGAATGATTTTGTCTTAATAAATCGTCGTTATCTATATATAAACTTATATTATTCGGTTTCAATTTTTGGATAAGAAATTCTTTAAATAGCTTTTTAATTTTTCTATCCTGTATGATTGAAGAAATTTGATCTAAAATATGTATCAATATATTAACTATGTATATTATAACAATAACAAATATACATGCTAAATTTATAAAATCCAACTTGCTTTCTTCTACTTGTTTATCTTTCTCATTTATCTTATTATTATAAGATTTTTTAAGTATGATTCTTTAGAACAAGGTAACTGGCTATCTTTATGATGATAATTAATTTTTTTGGACCATTTATCTCTACTTCTGCTATCATAACTTGATCATTGTCTTCTCTCATAACTTCTTGACCGTCTATTTTTGCTTCTTGATCATCTTCTCTCATAACTTTTTGACAGTCTATTTTTGCTTCTTGACTGACTAACTCTACTCCTTTGATCATAACTTTTTGATCAACTATCACTACTAATTCTACTCGTTCCTCTTAATCAGGATATGTCATTCATATTTCATCATAATGATTGTCAAAAGTCTATATCCCTTAA